AGTAAAAAGTTACATTAAAATTATCTATCTACTGACTAAATTATTTTCCAAATTGTCAACTTTCGTACCATTGAAATTAGAAATTAGTGTACCATGATGTGTTGGCATGGCTGCCACTATATGAAGCTCAACTTTTCCTGAACTGAGCTATACTGTTGAAGTTTGAGTTCAAGATTAGTTAGATAGTTTGAGTTTTCAGTGCTGGCAACATCTTATTGTTTTTATATTCTTTTATGTAAATAAAGTTAAGTTTTCAGTTTGTTCTACGTGACTTTCAGTCTGATTTGCTCTCAACAAAATCCAACATTTACAACTGCGTTGGCCAGGGGATTTTATTGAGAACCAGAAGATTATTAGTTCGAATCCACCCGGCAGCCAACGAACATCTCTTTCACGCTTTTCTCCCTCCACCTCATTTCTGAGACTACTTATTTAGCACAGAAAAAGAGTATAACCTGTTTCAATTTTGAATTCATGAGGTTGTCAGTTATTATTTCCTTTGAAGATAGTTTAAAATATTTTTGCTCAGTTCTGTGAAACCCAATTATGAGTATTTCGAACATAGAATCGCCTACTCATAGTTGTTTCAACCGAAGAATAACTCTGCTGAAGAATTCGAAAACTTGTCACATTCAGATAAGACTAGTCCACAAATTTTATGCTTATCTATGGTAGTCATCAATATGTATGTTTAGGACATTAAATTGGCTATAAATCAAATGTTAGTTTATGAATGACTTCGCATTCGTTTTCTTTCTTCTTAGTTTTTTAGTTCAATCTTTAAAAGTGAAATATTCTAAATAAATTAATAATTTTTAATCTAAGAAGTTCTTACTATGATAATATTCTTTTCGAATGCTTTTCACTCACAAAAAAAATTATTTTCATAACTAAAATGAACTTAAACATCATTGCAATAGCACGGAAATTTGAAGAACAGCAGCTCAATAAAGTTAGACGTTAATAAAACAAAATTATTAGTTCTTAAAAATAGTTAAATTCTACATAATTAGATCAATGTATCACCATTCATTTACTATTCGGTATGCAAATTTCTTAAGAATAATTACATTATTTATTACTTTGCAAACAATTTAAGAAATTTGTTTCATATTTTAATATGATTTTTCCTTTTCATCGATTTTTTTTATTGATAAATTCTTTATTACCCTACCATCAACAAATAAACTTTTATGCTCTTCGTAACGAAAAACAGTAAGCCATTTGGATTTGATAGGAGATCTATAATGATGCCCTGAAATAGTTATAGTTATATGAAATATTGCATCCCCCTTATAGTTGCTGATCACAGCATTCTGTTTTTCGTCAGCAGACAACGCGGTCAGCTATAAATTCTTAGGTGCTATAGGCCATGGATGTAGAGAGAAAAGTAATCCCCTCTTGACCAGAAAGGACGGAGAAGAATAAGGAAAAAATGGAATAAATAGAAGATGAAGTATAATTTATGATGGATCATAATAAAGCGTTATACCGAATCTCTTTACTTGAAAAACTTCAAAAAAATCAGTAATTGTTGGTGAAACTATTTCTTGAAGTTTATATCTTATTTCGTTGAAAATTCATGGATTAAATTACTTTGAACTCAAATAAAAAATATTTATTTTTTTTTAAATAAAATGACGAGCAAATATTTAAAAAGAAATTATTAAAAAATATGGGATGTTCCGTATTAACCTTCCATGCTAAGTATTTCCAGAAACCTAGTCAAAAGTTCAATTGAAAAAAAGAATGCTGCTAGAGGTCAAGAAGTAATATTTACCGATGAAAATTATCAAAATCTAACGAATTACTACCAAGGAAGAAATAATTTACAATATTAAAAATGTCGAGAAACATCAGTAAGATAGAGGAGTAGTAAAAAGGTTGTTAAAGCAGCTACAGGTTACAAAACTGTTTTTGATTTCTTCTTTCCGTCATTTTCCTTACTGATTCGCCAGATTTTGTTAAAAAATTTCTTCCTTTTTTAGTTTTTATTTGTTTGAATAATGGTTTGCGTCCCCGAAAGTGAATACTTCTACGACTTCATCTTAGACAAGGATTCTGATAATTCATGAGAGGAGAGGTGATTTCAAAATACCCCTGCACACAGTTAAAAAAAAATTGGAATCAAATTACGATATAAAATAAAGACATTTTAATAGCATCATCCGTAAAATCCATTGGTACAGTGAAATATAATACCGTAAATTTTACTGTAATGTTTATATAATTAGCATGATTCAGTGATTTTTCGGTAATTATTAATGTGAAAATTACCGTGCATTAGATATTTTGTTCCGTAACATATTTCGGTAAAAATGGATTTTACAGTAAAAATAACAGCACCCTGAGTGACGGTACTTTTAACCCTTATTTGAGTTGGAATTCTTACATTGTAAGTAGGGTAGTAGAATACTTTGAAGGATAAAAATAAAATCATCTTGTAAAGAATGAGATCTTGCGTCATGGGCATAATGAATGGAGTAAAACAGTTGATGCATCTGATGAATCAATTGATTTTAAAATCATCTAAGCATTTAAAGTTAAAAAGGTGTATAATCTGAAAAAAAGACTTTATTTGTCAACTGAACTTTGACCTTAAAAGTTGAATTCGAAGTGATTGAATGGTTCTGAAATATTAAACATATTTTTTTAAGAAACTGTTGTGTACCTTGATAATAGTTCTATAATTAGTTTTAAAAAAAATCTTTCTTCAGATCTGACATAATTAGGATAAGAAAAAGTGAAAAACATAGTTTTTCAAAAAGAAGCATAATACACATATAATTTCTTATTAAGGATTGCTTCAGTTTAATGTTTATTATAATTTATGTAGTTAAGAAACAGAATAGAGAAATCAGTATATTTGTTTATTTGTTTAATTTTTGTGAAATAGAAAATAACTCGTTCTTTTAAGAGTCCAGTATTCAAATGCCCAACTCTACAAAAATTTCCAGATCAAATTATGGCAGCATATTTGTAATTAAAGCACCAGTTCTTTTTTGCAACATCTGCGCAATCCATTTCACCGTAAAATCGAATTTTTCCATAAAATATTGCACCGTAATTTTTTTCAGCAATATTTCTTTAATTAGAATGTTTCAATGATTCGATAATTATAACAGTAAAAATTACGATACATCAGACTTTTTGTTCCTTATTACGCTCCAGTAAAACTAAATTTTTCTCCAAAAAAAATAGCGGCACTCTGAGTGCCGGTACTTTTTACCGCAATTTGATCAGGAATTTTTTGCAGAGCTGTCGGTCCTGCACTCATTTTTTGAAAGTGGCAAAACTAAACTGAATTCCGTGAGAAAAATGTGGTGCAAATGGCTACTCCGTACAATAAACATCATTGAGTATATAAATGAAGAAGAAAATTAAAATATATTTGTAATCATTATAATCAATAAAGTAAACATATCATATAAGTAACATTCGACTTAATATTTTAGGAAATTAATAAGGAATTTAACTTAAAACTTGTGAATTTGCTGATTATAGTTAACTTAATATTAACTTAAATGCATTTAAAGCTTAATGCATTTCGGAACTTACCTTTAAAATGCACAGGGTATTAAGAAATTTGATCATGTAAAATATAAACGCGATATTATTATATTATGTGCTATTGAAAAATTCACTATAACAAAGTACCTATGCTTTGACAATTATAATCAAATCAACACATATGTATGAGGATGCGGATAATAATTATTAATGTTTTGAAATAAAAACTTTAGTGGAGTCACATTTTTAAAAACTTCCATACAATTGTGTTTTTCTGAAGAACTTTTTTAATGTATTCAAGCTATAATTTGGTGTAAAAGAATCAAAATTTTATCTCAAAAAATTATTTGGCACAGTTTTATTTACCTTGCTTTCCGTTTATTAATTTTAAAACATGTTAAACAAATAATTGTTGTTAGTTTCCTTAAAAGCAGTATTTGCTTATTTAAATATTAATAAGTGTAAACTTAAAGTAGTCAGAGTTTACCGAATACTAATATTAACCTAACAAATAATATTTTTAAAATTAGTAAGTTAAACTCTGAAACTTCACTGAAGGAAGAAACAAAAGAGGAAAAGTTTGAAATTTTTATTGCATGTTTTACTTACACTTAGTATTTTTTTTAATTGCGAACTCTTCAATTTAAAGAATTTAGTCTTTTAAAAGGATTATATTTATGCATGCCATTCTTGTATTTTGAAAATTTATTATGCAATATATAAACTTTCCACTGAAAGTGAATGAATGAAATTTGCAATTTTAAACTTAAAAATATTTCAAATGTCCCTTTAAATTGGAAATACACCATATTCACCTTCAGATTAATTAAAAAAAAACATGTTCTTACTTTTATATAAAAAAATTTTTTTATCGTATATTATTTATTGATGATATTATTTTACAGTGCATGCACGTAGGCACATTTTTAAATAATTTTTTTTATTGCACATTATTTTTTTTTAAATCTATACACTGCAAAAAGTTTTGAGCACAGTGGTCACGATTCTTGATGTTGAAGTAAACTAAAATGTTTACTGTTTATAGTCGCAGTTAATTTAATTTTCAGCTGTTATAGTTTTATTTATTAATTTTTTGTTTGTTGACTAACTATACACATTTTCGATTTAATGGTTTCATTTCAAAACCATTTCGTTTAAAAATAACCGCATGCTTAGTAAAGTATTCGCCCTAATTCTTCCATATATTCGTTATTTTGCTAATTTTATCTAACGTGTTTTGCACCATAACTACAGTTCTCTGCTTAAAATGTATTTAATTTACATCAACACAAAGAATGGCGCCTACTCACCAAAAGTTTTTACAACGTAGATATTAAATTTATCCTTAAAATAAATTTTCTAAAAATAACCTAAAATCTACCTAAATTAAATCATTTGTTTATTCGCACAATCACTTTTAAAACGCCATGGTGTTTTTTTTTTTTTCTAAATGTTCTAGAGCTATAACAATATTTTTCTTCTCATTGCAGTCAAACCAGTAACAGTTACCATAAAAGGAAAAAGAAAACGTCTTTCGGCTGGTAAAAGTGTCCAATTTGAATGTGAAGCACAGGGATCCAGGCCACCAGCGGTGATTACATGGCGTAAAGGGAGTACACGTCTAAAAAGTTCTGTTGACAAAATGGTATCTCAAGGGAACATTACCACCAGTATATTGACCATGACGCCCTCTAGCGAGGACAATGGCAAATTCATTTCCTGCCAAGCAGATAATGTCCGCATACCGGGGAGTGCTATTGAAGACAGCTGGAAACTAGAAGTGCACTGTAGGTAACATATCACAGTTTTTAAGTTATAGCACAATGTTATTTATAATTTTACATACATGTGCTGTTTTAAATAATTTGTACTTTGTTGATATTGTTTTTTTTTCTCCCTTTTTTTTGCTAAGAGTGGTTATATGAACCAGACAAAATAAAATTGAAATTTACCTCGGTGACAGTGGATTGCAAAGTTTTGAATTAAATTAGAACCCATAAATTACTTTTATGTAACGTAATTTTATCCAAAAACTATAAAAAAAAAACAGTCACAGTTTAACAATAAGCTGCTAAGAGTTCCGATATTCTGTTAGTTCTACTAAAAGCAAAAACGCAATATCTTTATATTACTTATGAGTAATTTAGTTCTAAGTTTACCATTGTCTTCTCTGACAACAAAATAAGGTCTGAATAGTCGTTTCAGAATCAAAACTGCTATTTAAAAAGAAAAAAATGAAATTTTTAAGACAGCAGAAAATTTGATTCAGAAAAAAAATAAGCTTATATCGCATATATATTTTGGGGAGTGCAGTTGAACTGGAGTTGATTTTCTAAAAAATAAAATATATGCTGCGCAGCATAACCAAAACAATGTGAAAATTTAGTTAACTGGCTACTTTTACTATATCTTATTTTGTTGATAAATATATATCGAATTTTCGAGCAACTTCAAATGCTGCTTGTTCACTTTCAAAGCAGCTACGAAATTACACAAACTGAAAACCTTTTTTAGAGACATTTGCACAAGGAAAAACAATTCAGAAAAATTTAAAGTACTATACAGTTATGACAGTTATGATAAAAAAAATATTCATAATTCTGGTTAAACTAATCAAAATATACGTTATTTAAGCCATTAATTTGATACTTTTTCAGTTCACATCGCAGCGGTTAACCGGAAATTCTAGTTTTCAAAATTATTGTTCTTATTTTACGACAAACTTGGTAAAAAATGTTTTTAAAAACACTTAAAACTAAATTCGGCCGAATCATTGGTTCTAATGCTCACTCAAATCTAGACAGTTAAATAGTTTAATACAAAAAAATAAATATTTTCTTACAAGTAAATTATAAAGAAAATATATTATTTTTTCAAACCTTCCTAGTATGTTGCAGAAAGTAATAATTATAAAGCAAACTAAAATAAAGAGCAGGCAATTAAGAATTGTGCTTAAAAAATGCTTCTGCTATAAAGAATTTTATGCTCTCACACCTTTCCATTGTCGGAAAGAAGTTGTACTTGTTCATTATAAGTGCATTTAATAGCAATTTTAAGTTTAAAAAAAAACTAAGCTATTACTCAATGTGTTGCAAACAACTCAAATTAAACCCAATAAATAATAAAGAAAAAAAGATACCACACATACATGAATATAGTATTGTCAGGTAAACAATGGTTATTAATACTAATTCACTACGCCAACAAAATTATCTCGAACATAAATTAGACAGATGAAAATTATTTTTCTTCGGAGGGATTTTTTTTTTGAGGTGAAAAAAAAAACAATTGTCTTTATCACTATCTCACGAAAAAAATATTCGCACTTCTAATAGCGACAGAACAAAGTGTAAAACATGACCGTAAGTAAAATCCATATATTTAAGCATTTTTATCGGAAAAATAATTTATTTTATTACAATGATGAAAAAAAAATCAAACTCAACTTAGAATGGAGCCACCAAGAAATCGAAACCTTTTCTAAGTTCTCATAAAAATAAGGTCGTTACATTTTCCTTTTGTTACATAAAATTATTCCACTCCTCCCCTTTCTTCCTGAAATTCTTACAATATGTTTCTCTCCGACGATTGCCCACAATTTGCTTCGAGTACTCATTCATAAAATAGCGATTTAGTTTAGAAAAAAAAGAAGGAATCTCCATCACTCAGTTCAGCCTCTTCGTTGTAAGCGATCTGAAGTACAACTTCAGAGTTCAAAAAATGCCTTTCATAAATTCTTATAGGTCATAAAAAGAAAGAAACAGACGTGCCGTACTTAAAACAAGTCGGTCATTACTGAAAAACCTTTTCATAAAAGATCTTTGAATCAAAAAATGCTGGAAATGAAGAAAAGTTTGAATTTTGGGGGTTTCCTTACGTGCTCTTTATGAAAGATCTTTTTGTCTTTTGAAATCTTTTGTGTGTTTTTTATTTTATTTTTTAAGTAAGTTGCGGTTAATCATAGTTAGATGGGTTTGTATTTTTTTTAAAGTTCTATAGATTATTTGCAAGAAATATGATCACATGTTTAATTACTTTTTGTTTCTAATAATAAGCTTTTACAAATTTTTATTTTATTGCGAATTGTAAGAAGTCGACGTAATTTTTGTTCCATTCGAAAGTAATATATTTATTCATTAAATTTTATCTGTAACGTTTTTTACTACTTTTTTGCTCAAAACTAAATGGCTGTACTTGGCTGTAAAAATTAAAAATTAAAACACTTTCAAGTCTTTGCACAAAACATCTTGTTTTAATAATGATTTGGAATGTATGCTTTGAATGAAATGTAATACTTACATATACACTAGGAAAGAAAAGTATGGTTTAAACTACCAGAATATGATATCATTTTCTGTTTTTCTAGATCTATGGGAACACCAAAAAGCACGGTTATTTTAATCTTAAGAGTTTTGGTAATGATTTTTTGGTGAAATTCATAATGAAGTATTGCATTATAATATATATGTTAAAATTTGGTATTTTTATTTTGATAGCTTAGATCATGGCATAAAAAATACCGAATTAATACTTTAAATGCTGCGTTGTTGTTGACGCATGCCTGTTTTAAGCAGAGGGGGTGCGATTATTCATGTTTTTCCAGCGGCGCCATCTATGGCTAAGAATTCAACTTCTGCCACACCATACGTCACAACGCTTACCATAGGGTGGGCCCACTTATACATCCATTCATTCAACCACAGATCGTAATTTTGACCTGAATCAGAGAACGATCGATCTCCAATCCAGTACCCCCAGAAGTATTGACTTGTTATGGGAACATGGGACTTTTGCGACTCGACAGATTTAACGCGCATCAGTCACTATACAACACGGGGAGTCTTCGGCCGGTGGGATTCGAACCCACGAAATCTCGGACATGAGTACAGTGCCCCATCGACCAGGCTATCCCGGCCAAATGCTGCGTACTTAGGTTTTATTAACCTTAACACCTAAACTATGCCTTTTTTTTATTTTATTTCTGAAAATGAAATATTGTTACCGTAGAGTACCGTAACTTTACCCGAACTGTTTTCTCCATGTAGAAATATAGTTGCATTAAATTTTTAATGAATTGAACTTTAAATGTAAGTAAGAATAAAAAATACTAGAGGAAAAAGCAATAAAATTTCTAGTTTAACTTATGACTGCTAACTTATAATGTAGACAATTTTTGTCCGTTATTTTGTGTTACAGAAACAAACCTAAAATGTTTACTTCCATGGTTTAAGCGGCATAACTGACACAGGATGCATGTACACTCTCTAGCTTACAAAATTCTGAAAACAATCACGAAGACTCAGCTCAATAGACAAATTGAGTAAACTAAAATACCTAACTACCTAATTGCAAAAACACCTAATTGCAGCTCTTAATCTCGCAAAATAACGTTACCTAGAATAATATTTCCGTCGGAGATAGTTTTACGTTGACAAGGCACATTGAAATTAAAATATTATGTAAATTAACTATCGTATAAGCAATATTCTACTGAGCAAATAGCCTCTTGAGTGAAAAACTTATTTTGTTGAAAACAACCTTCTTTCGCGCTACATTATTTGCGTGTCACATTTGGGTTTCCTTCTGTGATTTCGACCACCTGATAGGAAACAAAATCTCAAGCGACCTTCGGTGAGATATTTTGATTAAATATAGAAATGGTTAAATTTTATGTGAAAAAAGCATTTATATACATAAATTGTTTACTTTACCTCTTAGTTGTTTTAAATTGATTACCATAATATCTGTGACAGCTACTCTAACTAGTTTAGTACAAAGATGCTTTTAGAAAGTGTTAAACAAATCTATAACTAAAAATCTAGCCGTATCACGGCTAGTTTTAATCGCCAGTAAATCAGAAAGTGATGGGTTTTTTTCTAAAACATAAAAGGATCTTTTTAAAATAAAAACATAAATTTTTGTAGAAATAATATTTACTCAATCCGTAACTCATCTAAATGTTTCGTAATTTGTTGTAGTATCCAACTTTAAACAAGTACGAGTAACTTTTTATTTAATTTGTTTCCTGCTCTAAATTTAATTAGTTCCATTTCCTAATTTAACCATCTTAAACTAGTCTAGACTTTTGATAAAATTGGAAGTGTAATTCACCTTAAATTGCAAGGTTAGAAGGAGAGAGAAAAATCAATTTCCCCCTCCAATCGATTGGCCCAGAACACTTGTGAATTCTTTTGCTTCCACAAACTCTGTACAACAGCTTAAATCTGGAGTCTTGGCTTATAAATAAAGAATAGAAGCTGCGTAGAAATCTCGAGTCTACTGTCCATGCCAGTTCATCCGCCAAATATATTCAGGTACCATTCAGTTAGAAGGAGAGTTTATTTTGGTCATTTCCTCAACGTGGTCCCGCTTCAGTTTATAATACATTTTCTTACTAAGCTTCAATAACTTCTTACTCTCCAAGCGTATTATATATTTAGAGACCATCCTGCTCTATGGCTTAGTGTGTCATAATGTATGGATAGAATGTTACTCTCCCAATTCCCTTTGGTCTTTATTGTTTTTCCGAACTAACACCCTCTTTACATTTATTCCATAAATAAAACATACAGATAAAAATAATAACAGTAAATTGTCGGGTTTTGATTATTTTTTTACGTTAATTCTTTTGTTTAAAAAAAAACAAAATTGGCTGAATTTTAATGTTATACCTGATCATAAAATAGTATTTCAAGTGACTTTTGGATAAAATTGCTTACGAATTCGAAATTGATTTATGTGAAAGGAATAATAATTTTATTCTCGGAAAAGGAAAGGAAAGTTAATT